TTAACATCATAGATATTTTTACACTTAAAAATGTTGAATTTTGTGCCAAAAAAAGAGCATTTGCGGGAAGTTTTAATGCATTACTTTATTTTGAAGAAAAGTGCTGCTGAAAGTTATTGTATACTTTGGGAAGCTTAGGGTGAACATGCTCCATCTCAAGATACTTGTGAACGCTGGTTTAAACGCTTTAAAAGTGATGATTTCGATGTGAAAGACAAAGAACGTCCAGGTCAGCCGAAAAAATTTGAAGACCAACAATTACAAGCATTATTGGATGAAGATGCATGTCAAACTCAAAAACAACTTGCAGAAAGATTAAATGTTGCTCAGCAAACAATTTCCAATCATTTACAAGCAATGGGAAAGATTTTAAAGGAAGGAAAATGGGTGCCACATCAACTGAACGAAAGACAAATGGAAAACTGAAAAGTCATCAGTAAAATGTTGCTTCAATGGCATGAAAGGAAGTCTTTTTTTTGCATCGAATTGTGACTGGTGATGAAAAGTGGATTTATTTTGAGAATCCCAAATGCACAAAATCATGGGTTGATCCAGGTCAACCATCAACATAGACTGCAAGGCCAAATCGCTTCGGAAAGAAGACAATGCTCTGCGTTTGGTGGGATCAGGAAGGTGTGGTGTAGTATGAGCTTCTAAAACCAGGTGAAACCGTTAATACTGATCGCTACCAACAACAAATAATCAATTTAAACCATGCTTTGATCGTGAAATGACCAGAATGGGCCAGAAGACACGGAAATTAATTTTGCTTCATGATGATGCACCATCACACACTTCAAAACCAGTTAAAGGCACGTTAAAAGATCTTGCCTGGGAAGTATTAACCCACCTGCTATATTCACCAGTCCTTGCTCCTTCAGATTACCACTTGTTTGATAGATGGCACATGCGCTTTCTGAGCAGCACTTCAAAACATACGAAGAAGTGGAAAATTGGGTCTCTGAATGGTTTGCCTCAAAACAAGAAAAGTTCTATTGGGATGGTATCCACAAATTACCTGAAAGATGGGGAAAATGTGTATCTAGCGATGAACATTACTTTGAATAAAGCACTTCTGATGTTTCTCTTGAAATTATCGTGTTTTCTTTGATTACAAAATCTGCATTATTAACCCATTGTCCTTGCTGGTCTCTACTGCTGGTGCAGGGTGGTGGTTCTCAGGTTCTTATGTTCGTTGTCTTTAAAAAAGTATTCTTCAGCAATGAAGAACAAAACATATTTTTTTTGCCTTAAATTAAACCAATGTAGGGGAAAGACCTACTTTTATGAAAGTAAATGTTTGAAGAGAAACTAAAATGCTATAAACTCTTTTATTTCTATATTTATTTTTTAAGGCTAATCTTGACTTTTAAGTGATTGATTCTGAAAAGAAAAACTATAGGCTGAATCAAAAACCCCTGTGTACCTCCTAATATATGCTAATAAACAATATCAGAATTTACCAAAAATGAAATTAATATTTCTTAAATTATAAATAATATTAAAAATTACATATCTCTCTATCTTAACTCAATAGAAAAGACACCAAATAATTTACTTAGATCTTATAACATAGGTACATAGGAATTTTTGACTCACCTTTTTCGATATCAAAAGAGATGCATTTTGCATTGCAATTAGAGTTTCACCAAACTATAGCTTCAAGAAAAAGTTGTATGACCAGTGCTCGGGTATAGAAAAATATGAAATAACACAATTACCCTCATTTGATGAATTATATGCAGTATATACAATTTAGCTCTAACTATTCTTTGAATATCTGAACAGTTGTTTCATGTTTTTTCCCCTGTATTGCTTGATTAGTTTTAAATTGTAGACTGTCAGTACTTTTTCTCACAAACACGTGGCATTATGGTTTTATTGTATTTGGGAAATCTTTATATAATCAACTATTGATTATCTGTCATACAATAGAGTAGCAAATCTTCTAGTTTTAAACTAATAAACACAATATATGCCATTTTATGCAAAGAATATTTTGGTTCAAGTGACAGAAAACACAACCCAAATTGGGTGAAGCAAAGAAGGGAGTTTTGAGGGTCATGTAATTGAAAAATTGAAGGGTAGAGCTAGCTTCAGCTACAGTTGGTTTAAATAGTATAATCAGGACCTGGTCTCTCAGCATCTCATGCCCTTGCTTCCTTTTGTATTGGCTTCATTCTTAGGCTTCATTTAATTACATGGTGGCTGCCAACACTGGCAGGGTTTTATTTTTCTGTTTCAAATCCATAGAAAAGAGAATAGTCTTCTCCTCCTCCCCTGCCCTCCAAAGTCTTGACTCACATTTCATTGGTTCTGATTAGATCATTTGCCCTCTAGTCTCTGAGACCAGCAGGACTGGTGCCCTGATTGGCCACCAGTGACTGTTCTTAGAGCTGGGGAGCCAAGTCCATGCTGACAGGGGGAGGAGGAAAGGTGTCTACTCTTCCAAAAGAAGGGGGAATGGATACTTGATGTAAAAAGCAACAACAACCGAAAGTACATATCTCTTTCTCCATTTACAGTATTATTCAAAGTCATCTACATTGGGTAAATACAAATGTTTCAGTGGTAAAAGGCCATTTAGGGATATGCTTTATAGTTAGGTCATATAGAACTGGATTTTTTAATATATATTTTATTGATTTTTTTACAGAGAGGATGGGAGAGGGATAGAGAGTTAGAAACATCGATGAGAGAGAATCATCGACCAGCTGCCTCCTGCACATTCCCTACTGGGGATGTGCCCACAACCAAGGTACATGCCCTTGACCGGAATCGAACCTGGGACCCTTCAGTCCACAGGCCAATGCTCTATCCACTGAACCAGACCGAACAGGGCAGAACTGGAATTTAAAATAATAATTTCACCTATAAAATGCAGAACCTTAATGAAATAATAAAAGATATTGGATACCCAATTGCTTACCTTACAGGCAGGAAGGATATTACAAATATTTAAGAACCTGGGGCAGTGGCATCACCAAGTCATTCTGAGTTGGGTCCAGTCAGTCAGAGCTGGTGCTGAGCACCACCGACTGGCAGGGTGCTTTGGAGTTGCTGGCGGGATGTCAGCCTTGCTAATGGGGAGGCATTGTAAAGGTCCTGCCATATTTCTCAAAACATGTAGTTTCTGTGTGTGTTACCTAACATTAGACCATAAACAGGGTAGGTTACAACATAGAAATTTATTTTCTCAAAGCTTGGAAGTCAGAAATCAAGGTGTCCGTAGGGCCATGCTCCCTCCAAAGGCTCTGGAGAAGAGTCGTTTCCTGCCTCTTCTAGCCTCTGTTGGTTGATGGCAGTCCTTGTCATGCTTTCGCTTGTAGATGCACCACCCCAATTCCTATCTTGTCTCCCTGTGGCCTTCTCCCCGTGTGTCTGTGTCTCTGCAGCCAAATTTTTCTGTTCTTATCTTATAAGGATACCAGTCATATTGGATTTGAACAATATGACCTTATCTTAGCTTGATTACATCTGTACAGACCCTATTTCCAAATAAGGTCATACTTTGGGGAGACATGAATTCTGAGGGGACACTATTCAACCCAGTACAGTTACCTAAAATCAAATGCTCTTGCATAGTTGGCATGACACAATTTTTAAAAAAATTTCAATGTTAAATTGCTTACAAACACTGTAGTTTTTTCTTGTCTTATTTTATAGTTAAAAACTAGGTTTTTGAATCTTAGCAAAAGTATTTAAGGGAATTATGAGTTTTTTAGTTGAAATGCTATTCTATATATTTTTTACTGCATCATATTAAGTAACCACATATTTCTTCATTATAATTATTTTAAATCTGTTAAAATGTGAATGTTAGTGTGGCAATTTGGTGAAGAATTAATAATTTTTATTAACATGTGAGTATGTTTGTGTATGTAGAGGTATTACTTTTTACACTTTATTGAATTCAAACAAGTTTTGCCTAAAAGAAATAAAACTGACAGCAATTAAATGAACATCATCCATAAGTGTATTTAAGAGCAAGTATAAAAAATAGGAGAGAAAAATAGGAGAGAAATGCAACTGGTGAAGGGCTTAGATATCCCATCTTTCAGGGAACATTTAAAAATGTTGGTAATTGTCTTAAGTCTTTGAAGAATGGCTCTGTGGAAAGATTATAAATTCTAGAGCAGTGGTTCTCAACCTTGGCTGCACATTAGAGTCACCTGGGAATCTTTTTAAAATCCTGATTTCTGGGCCTTATCCTCCGGAAATTCTGTTTCTTTGTTATGGGGTGGGGCCACAACATTAGTAACAAAGAAACAGAATTTCTGGAGGATGAGCCCAGAAATTAGGATTTTAAAAAGATTCCCAGGTGATTCTAATGTGCAGCCAAGGTTGAGAACCACTGCTCTAGAGGGAAGACCTAAGACCAGTGAGTTAAGGTTAAAAGGTAATATATCAGTGCATTGTAAGACAACACTTTCCCAATGAACAATGTCCCATGTACCAAAATGGAGGTGGCAGTGGTGTAAGGGAGTAAGGGGTAGGCTCCTGGAAGTGCTCAGGAAGGTACTGCATAATTACCTCCCTGGGACATTTTAATGGAGATCTTGCTTTGATCAAAGAATTGAAATGAAAGGTCTCTAGTTTCAAGATTTGTTGCAAGTTCTCCTAAAATTTTTCTTTCTTATATGTTGTGAAAATCAATATTACTTATGTGACAAGATATTTCTATAAGATATTTATATGCTTTTTAACAGCTGCCAACCTAAAAGCTTTGCTTTGTGACCTCTGTTCTATGGAGTGCTTAAGGGGAAAAAGGGGGGAGTAGGGATTTAATCTAAGAGAAGGAGAAGTATCAATAAGTGAGAAAGGTGGGGAACTAAAACTTGTATTTATTGGATGAGTTTATCCCTATTATCTCATCTCATTTAATATACTTAGTTTTTTATTGCTCAGTTTGGAAGTTATGAGTAGTTGTAATTCTTAGAATGATGAATTCTTAAAATAATTGGCATTTTTTTATGTATTTTTTTGATGATGGAACACAGGACTGTTCTGATGGATATATGTGCAAAATACATTTTCAAATAAAAAATGGGACAGTGGTGTCACATCCAGGGACATCTGCCCATGTACAGACGTGTCTTCCTATGGAGGTGAGTGATTTACCATGTCATATTCTCCTTTTCAGTCTTTGTGAGGTATAAATTTAAAATTTTAAATCTGTTAAATATATATTTTAAAAAATTAACTGCCATTGGATCCCAGGCCTGCTGTCAGAGGAGAAGTGAATATCAGTTGTCAGGAGATATATATATATATATATATATATATATATATATATATAAATTTTTTTTTTTTACTAAAATTTTTTCAGTGACCTTGGGTAATAAAATTATATAAGTTTCAGGTGTACAATTCTATAATACATCACCTGGATATTATATTGGAGACCAACTCAAGTCAAGTCTCCTTCCATCACCATTTATCCCCTCTATATCTTTTTCTACCTCCCTCCACTCCTCTTTCCCCCTGGTAATCACCAACTGTTGTCTGTGTCTATGAGGGTTTTTTTGTTTTGTTTTGTTTAATCCTTTCACATTTTTTACCAAGGCCCCCAACCTCCTTCTCTCTAACAGCTGCCAGTCTGTTCTCTGAGTCTATGAGTCTGTTTCTATTTTATTTGTTAGTTTATTTTGTTCATTAGATTCCACATATAAGTGAAATCATACGGTATTTGTCTCTCTCTGACTGGCTTATTTCACTTAGCATAATGCTTTCCCAGGTCCATCCATGCTGTTGCAAAAGGTAAGATTTCCTTCTTTTTCATTGCTATAATATTGAAAGCAGGAATTGTGGTAAAGTTGAAATCTACTCTGAGTTGTAGTGAGCCTTTACCCTTTTGGTTTCTACAGATGCCTTCCTTCCATTGCCTATTGATTTTTATTCTGTGAAATCCCCCAGGACAATACAAATCTATCCCTCTGCTGCTTAACACCTGGCTGGAGACCTCTTTGCCTAGTTTGCCTCTAACTCTTTTCCCCTATGCTTTTTAAAATATGCTAGATCTGGGTCTCATTCTGTAGAAGACTTTAACCTTGACTTGAAAATTTTGCTAAATTAAATTTTAATATGGTGATAATGGCTTAGTGGTTTTCTGGGATATTATCAAAATGTAAGTAGCCTTATTGTATTTGTTGTTATTAATAACAATGTTTATATGTTCAGTGTGAACATAAATAATAGAGAAAAGGTAAAAAGAGGAGAAAAAACTCCTATGCATCCTTCAACTGGAGGTAATTACTATTAATATTTTCATAAATACTCTTCCACATATTTATGTCATGTCTATACATACATAATTGTGTTTTGCAATGAACATGTATATTACAGACATCTTCCCATGTCAGTAAATGTAGAATTCCATAGTTCTCTTTTAATGGTCCCATTACATTCCATCCTTTGGATGCACCATAATTAAGGAGAGCCTATACTGAAGTAAAATTCTTGAATTCTAAAATAGAAACTTGGGGCTCTAAGTGCTTCAACACAAAAGAAGAAATCACTTAGAAATGCTTAGAATTCTGAGTATTCTGGTAAAATGGGTGAAGAGCCCCCCTCCCAAAGGAAGACCTTTTTCTCATCATCTATTAAATCAGATCCATCATCTATTAAATCAGATCCATTAAATCTGGCACTAGCCCCCTCTGCCTGTGTAGGATGCTGGCCTGGAAGTAACTCTCACCAATATAATTTGGTTTGCAAGTTATTCTTGAGGGTATTGTTCTCGGTAATAAATCAAGTGCTCCCAGTGAGTGCTCAAATCTTGATTACTACTTCATGGTTTGAATAACTGACATCAAATCTGAAGCCAAGCATGTTAGGAAGCTTTTCAGTTCATTATATATTAACTTAAGAAATACACATGGAAATGATGATTTAAAAGATGAATTACCAGCTTTTGCTTAACAAGTTGGCAGAGATTTGGAAAGCACTAAAAAGTGGTGTTGACAGTGTGAGGGAACTGACACTTTCTGCTTGATGTTTTAACTTCACAAAGTTGAAAGATGTGCACATACTATGAACAATCTATTCCAAATCCAGGAATTTAGCTTCATAAAATATAAATTTTCCAACTTTTTCTTATTTTCAACACTTCACAACAAATTTTAAACATATGAGAAAATTGAAAGAATTTTGCAGTGAACATTCATGTACTCATCACCTAAACTCTACCATTAACATATTGCTCTGCTTGCTTTATTATATATCCATCCCTCTATTCATTTATCAGTACACTTTTTTCTGATTCAAAACTTTTACAACAAAGTAAATTGCAGGCAAATATTTACAAAGTAATCTGAAATGTACACAAATATTTACCTGCAACAATATTCATTTCACCACTATTTATAACAGGATAAGATGGAAATAACTGAAATGTACCACAGTAATGGGTTAGTTTAATTACAGCACATCCCTGTGATGGAGTTCTTTGTTCAGTAGGTCTGGAGTGAGAATTTGCAGCTCTAACAAGTTTCCAGAGATGCTGATGCTGCTGGCCCAGGGACCACACTTTGGGAACCACTGCACTAATCTATAATAGAATGCTAAAGCATGTATGAGGTGCTGCACAGCTGAGATGGTTAGTTAATATGATGTATGATAGGGTTGATATTGCAATAATATTGATGGAAGAAAGATGTCTTTGGTTGAGCCTGTGATGGAGATTTCTGTTGATATGCTCTTAGCAGAACAAGGGATAGAAGCTAAGGAAGAATGTCATCTCAGCTAAAGATTAACTTTAGTCTGATCCCCTGGGAAGCTCTAGAGCACAAAATACACCCAGAATTAGTCCCACTTTGTGCCCTTGAGGCCAGCCTTTTGTACTCTGTGACAATCATTGACTTATCAGTCAGCCATTGGCTGAAGTGGCGGGAGACATAGCTTCCCAAGTAAGGCAGTTCCAGTTTTACTGAGAAATTCTTCAGGAAAGGAGGCTGCTGTGTGTTATCAGTCAACAATCACAACAGCTGAATGGGGATAGGTACACCATCTTTAAGGGAACCTGAGCACGACACCAATGGTGTTTACTCTCTGAAACCAACAAAATTGGATCTATAGAGAAATATATATAAAGGTCTGCATTTAGATGAAAGGGGGGAGGCTTGACAGCAATTTGTTTGAGAAACAGCTGGTGATTTTAGTTGACTACAAGTTCAAGATAAGTGAAAAGAATGCCATGGATGCTAGGAAAATTAACTAGAATCCAAGCTACATTAATTAAAGCATAAATGTATCCCAAATATGGTCTGAGGGCCCCTGGTGAGGTGTACCAGAGATACTTTCGGGGACTCACAAGGTCAGTTTTCTAGGCTACCTACCTGTGATATTGCAATAGAGTGAATGCAGAAATTGTTACAAGAGCCCAGCTGTCTTCCATTAAACCAGACAGTAAAAAGATTTGCAAAAATGTAAAACACTTTTCTTACTAATTTATCTTGTTTTGGAAAATATATTTATTTTTCATAGAAATATGTTATATTGACACATTTTTGAATGAATTAAAAATATTTTTTAAAATTTCAATTTTAATTTCTAGTACAGTGAATATCAATAGATGTCACTGTCTTAAACAAAAGCTCATTGGAATACTCCATGAATTTTAAAAGTGTAGAGGGGTCCTGAGAACAAAAAGTTTGAGAACCACTGATCTAGATCAACTAAATATTGCATATTACATGTGAAGAACACTGATAACTAGAATATATAATAAATGAACACATAAATAATAGCTTTAAAATACATTATAAGTAGAGTTCATCCATACAGAGAGCATGCCAAGGGCCACAGTGGGCTTGAAAACATAGTGAGGAATATTTGAGGGCTCTGGGGGATGTTAAACTAGAACTAGAAACTTAGGAAGTTTAGTTTTCTGCAGATATATCTAGAAGGGTTTCCTCTGGAAGGACTTGATTTGTTTCCGAGGATAGAACTAGTTTGTGTCTGGAAATTATTCTAGGCAAATCTCTCTAATGTTTAGACTTGCCTGCAATGAAATAGGTCTACTTGTAAAGTTATGGGTTCCCTCCATTTTTGTGGCAATGTACATAATGCTTTTTCCAGAACAGTGTTCACCAACTGAAATGTTCAGATGCTGAGAGCATGAGGCAGGTGATGAGTGAGTGCAGTGGGTCCCTGGGAAGTGGTGGGAGCTGTGGAGAAGTAGAGAGGGCATGACATACAAAGGGCACTAGGCATGCAGCTCCAGGTGGATTTTCAAGAAAATGCAGTCATCTGGATTTTTGTGTGTTGGCTTAATTAAAAACATATTTATGTACAGGCCAAATAGACTATATTTACATGCTGTAAATGGTCCTCAGGCCATCAGCTTATAACCAAGCTTCTAATATTATAGAAAGAAGTCCTGCATTGTATAGAAGACTGAGCTAGAGGACCTCTGAATTCTCTTTAGAATTTAAAGCCTGATAGTTCTATAACTGTTCAACATCCGTACACCATGTTCCCTACTTAAAAATATTAAAAGGAATGCCTCTGCTGATAGTTTCAATTTTTTAAAGTTTTTTTTATGATGTGGGCAATCAATTTACTTCTTTGTTCTAACTAGATCCAGCAGTCTTGATTGCAGAAAGATAGTTGGACTCATGATGTTTATACCTGTGAGATTGTCTACAATATTATATAGATAATTGTAGAATTTAAAAAATCAGAGTGAAATATAATGGAATATATAAGTGAAATAATTTGTGAAAATCATAATATTTTTAAAATATAGTTTAAAATGATAGTTCAAAGACTGAGTTAATATTTAGAAATTTCCTAAATATAATGGGGTGTCTTTTAGTTCTGGTTTTGGACAACAGGAGTTCTTATAGGTTAATCATATTAGAGGAGGCATTTATTGAGTGCAGTTAGTATGATTTACTTGTGATATTTGTGAGTTTGTGAAGTGACAAGCAGGATTATAGCAATTTTTGAACAAAATCTTTACCAGTAATCAAAAGAAATTTATAGCCTCAATTTAAAATCTTCTAAATATAAATGAGTATTTTCAACAGGAGACAACATAATCAACACTGATCCTTGGGATTTCTTATTATATGGAACTCTTATTTACTTAAATTGATATTGGTGC